GATAGCTACAATAATATTATGGTAGCAAACTAACCTTACTAAAAAGGTAACCTTTACTGTCTATAGGCGCACATGTACATGTAGGTAAAAGTTACATTGATTAAATGTGATATGAAAAAATAATAGAAAAATAAAAATGTCCTATGCAGCAGATGAAAGGAAACATTTACATTTAAGGATGAGCCTAAACCTTATTAGTATATTAACTGAAATCCAAACTTCATGACCGTCAGTTTCCTATAGCATACTGCTGAAACTTGCAATCTCATTATACATGTATGTACATGTATATGTACATGTACATGTATGTGTACCAAAAAAATGATTAATAAAAAGTTTCATTGTTGTGCACATACATGCACATGTAAATGTACAGTACATGTATCAGAAAACTGAACAAAGACAAATTTCACAGTTGTACATGTACAATGTACTTAGTTTCAGGAGTTACAATTTATTAAATTATCACTTACAGAGTAGTTGTAAGAGACAGTCTTCCTTTGGTAGACTTAAGAATTCTGGACCACTGCTACTCAACCTGTGAAGAATAATAAATAAATAAAATAAATATTAACTAGCCTCAGGCATTTAATGACAATACTTGAGGCAGTGCATAAACTGATGACCTCAGCTCAATACAGAGCATATAGTGCAGCAGAGGCAGCACTATAATATGAAGAGAGTGTCTTCATTATGAAGGCCTGTAAAGAAATGCATCATTATATAATCAATGATTATTATTAATATAAATAAAAGAAGAGATAAAAGAAATTCATAATTAATTAATTGTACACAAAAGAGAGAGGGAGAGGAGAAAAGGAAAGAAGCTGTTTAAATAAAAGACAGTTTGAATCATACAGTATACAGTACAAGTATTAGATTCACAATTACTGTGTATTAGTAATTACAGGTTTAGCAAAAGGAGCTAATCTGTTAGAACAAGGACAGACAACCTCGTTAGAGAAGAGAGAAGAGAGAGGAGACCAGGAATTACTCTAAAATTAAAAAGTCACAATTATTAGTTCATTATTATTATTATTATTAGCATTATCAGTACACAGTACATTGATGTACTACTAGTCTAGTTTCTCAATGATGAATGGGTGCTGGAGTGCTTGATTGATGCTGAGTCTCTTGCTTGGATCAAGTATAAATATCTTATCAAGGAAGTCCTTGAAGTGATGGATCTTCCTCAGGTGAGCTTTGTTTGGAGATTGGGTACTAACCAGGTCTGCTAAAAGGTCACGCTGAGGACTGAATGAGGACATTACCACAACTTTCTCCTGTAAAGGGAGAGAGGGAGTCACTACCAGCAGGAGGAGGGGCAGAATGTTATAAATATATGTAAATGTACATGTATATCATTTATACATGAATGAATAGAGGGAGGAGTCCATAATGGAGATGGACAGGATGATTCTAATACTGCTCACTTCTATTAACAGTATTGTACCTTACTAAACAGGACCTTGAATTAGGAAAACTATATATAAATGTACATGTATTATGTAGCAAATGGAGCAATCAACAATACCATACGTAGGTGTATAGTACA